GTTTGCCTTTATATCTAAGAAGTAGTCCTTGAGGGTTTCCAAAACCCTTCTTTATCTTTGTGAATCTCCTGAAAACTCTGCTTAGTTTTTAACCTCTTAGCAGTCACCTTCTCCTTAATGTCTTCCCCTGAACAACTTAGGATTCAGTAAGTGCCTCAAGGGTAAAAGCCACACAGAATGTTAGACTCACTTCTCTTTTGTTCCCTTTTTTACTAGAAAATTTTCCCCTCAAGTCCTGGCTGCCTTTGTAGCCCTGAACTGTAATTTTTGTCTTGTGAGCCCAGGAAAAGTGCTGCAAGCTCTAGGCCAGGGCATTCTGCTTATATCAACTGCCCTGAGAGGAACACACCATGCAGAAGGTTTGGCTCATCTAGAGCATTCCATTTCTTTCCAGGGTCTGGCTCCTCAAGTGCTGACTGCCTTTGTTTGTCTTAGCTGATCTCTGATATCTTCAAAGACCTTCTGTTCTTTCTTTCTTTTTTTTTTTTAATTTTACTCAGATTTTACGTTGTTCAAATGTTTCAGTGTTCTCTGCACAGCTGTGGAAAGTGGGAGATTTAATGTGAAATAGGCTTACTCCATCGTAGTTGGAAGCTGAGGTTTTATTCTTGCATTTTTAATTTCAATCACATTTTTCCCTTAAAATTCTATTTGGTTGGTTTTCAAATCAGCATCATCTTTTTTTTGGATAGTATCCTTTTTCTATCTTATGTTTTCCCATTCCTTTCTTTATGATTTTAATCTCTTAAAATATACTTATAGTTTGAATCCTTTTAGATTATCTGAAAATCTCAGGGGTGTAATTTCACTGTATGTTATCTGCCGACTCTTAGTTTGCATTTGCTTCTGCCAGATGCCCCAAGAGTGTATAAGCAGCTGAGAACCAATTTTTATGTTAATTTCTTGGCTTGGGATTTCTGAAGCCATACAGCTATTGCATATTTGAATCCCAAATGTGAGTGAGCAGAAAGATATGATTATGGAATAAGAAGAGAGATATTTTTTTCTCCGCTCAGAAGTTCAGACCTGTACAGATCAACTTTCTTGTCATTTTGTTTACTTGTGAGTGGATGTTTCTTAGGTCATTCTTTCAGTTAAGGTACAAACCACATATGGGATTCTGACATATTTGTATCTATATATTCCAATTCTTCACATTACATGGGCTCAAGGTCTTGGCTCTTGCTTCTATGAGGCCATTAAAGCCATACCATTGCTTACTGAGCTCAGCCCAAACCCCTAGGGCAACTGAGAAATCAGTACCTGCTGCCCACTCTGCTTTTCAGTTTTCTGTTTGTATAAACCCTCAGGGATTTGCTTCATTTTCTTGTAAGCTCAGCTGTGCATATGTGAAGATATTTATAGACTTTATTCCACTTTTTTTGGATGTTTTTTAGGTAAATGTTTTCAAGTTGTCTAGTTCTCTGTAATTCCAGAAACAAAAGTCTTAACTGACATAATTTATATTACTGGCTTATACATGTTATCTATTATTAAATATCATCAACATTATTATTTCTACAAATACATAAAACCTGAATATTTGGATTTAATGTATATAATAGGTTTTATATATATATAACATTTATAGAACATATAACTATATATGTTCTATAAAATATATATTACATAAGTACATTTAACATATATTTATATATAACATAATATGTAATAGATTATATATAATAGATTACAAAGCTTTATGATAACTGGTCTATCAGCTGAGTGTATGGTTAGTAAATACAGTACTATGTAGATCATGCTACAGAAACACAATAAAATTTGGCCTATTGAAATAGTGTAAACCACATCACTCTTTTCCCAACTACATGTTCTGCTGACTTTAAAACTGTTTTTAAAACTCCTGTTTCCTCAGGAGAACTAGAAAATGCTATGGATTTGTAGCTATACCCATATATATTATTTGTATTAGAAATCAAAACTTTTATATTTTGCATGAAATTTTATGTCCTTTTTGCCTTTTTGTAGGAGGATACTTCATCGAGACTTGAAATCAAAGAATATATTTCTGAAAAACAATCTGCTTAAAATTGGTAAGATTTTTAAAAATATGTATTTCTAGAAACATGGGAGAATATATTCTAGATGTTATCAGTATATCATATGGAAATATATAGTACCTAGAAGTGTTAGAGTAATCACTGGTTTATTTTAACTTCTCAAACTTTTGTTTTTACTTGAGTGGGGCCAACAAAACCCAATTATTTTGTTTCTGAGTATCTGATATAAATTGAAGTGTAAGACATTTGCTACATACTTCATAGATTGAACTAATAATTTTTGAGTTCCTACTCTATGCCAGGCACTTTGCAAGTAGTTAGAGTTGTTTTACTGACTTGGTTAATTAGTACAGGTTTCCTGTTTATTTATCACAAGCAATTAGCAGTTATCACAGATAATTAAAATATTGGTATCATGGATTTGTTAATTTTTAGTTCTTCTTCAGAACTGTACCTCCACTCATAACGGTTACTAGATTGTTGTTCTTCCTGTAAGATGTTCTTAGAGAGGGAAAGCCTAAAAGCATGCGACTAGTTAGATGAGTAAAGAGAAGTTAATGGATTCAAGTTTTTATAGTCATGTTCTTGAAAAGTCTCAGGTCTTTTATTTGAAATCTTTTCTTTATTGTAAATGAAGAACAAACTCTCCCCCCTTGGATGAAATCGCAAATCATTATATTCAGCTCTCCAGAATCATTTTGCTTGTTGTTGGGCAGACCTGAAATAGCTTTTTGTTTCAAGTTGCCGGTTCTCCGTAATTCCAGAAATAAAAAGCTTTAGCTTACATAATTCACTTTCCTGGCTCAGTCTTCCTTCTCCTATAAGGCCTATGTTTTTAAAGCTATTCACTAGCATTATGTAATTTAAAAGATACCATTTTTCTTTTCTTTCCCTTTAAATGGTATGAATCATTGCATATAAAAATTGTCAAATTAGACAGTTGTTAATTTCCAAGCTGATTTTCATTGCTTTAAGGTATTCATAAAAATTAATTATTATTTCAAGGGGATTTTGGAGTTTCTCGACTCCTAATGGGATCCTGTGATCTAGCCACTACTTTAACTGGAACTCCCCATTACATGAGTCCGGAGGCTTTGAAACACCAAGGCTACAACACAAAGTCAGACATCTGGTGAGTGGGCAGTGGGCTAGTCCAGATGATGTATACATCTGCTGCATTGAGAGAACAATGCGTTTCGTTTTTAGGCTCATTTACTTGCTACATCCGCTCACTTTATCCTTTTGAAGTATGAGTCATTCTTTGACCAGAGTAAAGGAGGGTTTTTTGGATTTGGAACTTGATTATTTCCATTATATTGATTTCAGAAATTCTCTCTATTTATAGATAATTGGTTGGTTTGGATTTTTTTCTTCTTGAACCACAAAGAAAAGTTCTTGATGTATCATAAACATGTTAATAGGTTTCTGCTAGCCTATTAAATAAAGTATTTGTAATCCTAAACACTGTGCTTTATTTTATTTAAGATCAGCTTCCACCTCTGTGGGGAATGTACGGCCTTATTTATTTTTTTCTTGACACTTAGAAGAATTTTTACTGAAGATACTAGCTTTTAAGAATAAACGTAAATAAAAAAATTTCTGGGTTTTCAATGATAGGTGCATCTGAGATTTCTCCATTTATCTGAGCTTTTGTACCAAAGGAATTTCTCATTCCTTGTCATGGAACCAGTTTAAATCTCAGTGCAGAAGCCATGTGGAAAATTGTATTCTATTGTTAGCAATAGATCCTATTTAGGGAAAATCTCTTTTCATTTAAAGAGGAATCATATCATTTTCAACTTGTTAAAGGTTGAAAGGACAATCTAGCTAGCTTTCAAAGATGAGCAATGTGAAAGATTATGTCTACTTCATTCTTCTAAAGAGGGTAAAGTAGAAAGTTACCTTTTCCGTGGTTAGGGAAAAGTGAGCACAACAGGGGATATCCCTTTGGATTTTCATAAGGGTCATTACCCATGTTCTTGTTCTGGTGCCTCCCAAATGGGTGGGAGAGAACACTGTCAACATTAGGTCTGGCTATGGCAGATAACCATCCATTCTGTCCCTTCACTTTACTCTTGGGATTATTCATTTCTACGTCTTCAGTGTTCTTTTTTTTTTTCATTGTCTCTACCCTGATGGTCTTTTCCAATTTACCTATCGTATTTTCTCTAATCATAACCTTCCCCTAATACCCTCCCCCAAAACCAAAACCAAAATAATAGACAAAAACCACAAAGGTATGTTCAGGGGAATGAGTTTCTTTACATTTTGCTTTACTGAGCATCTACTATTTGCCAGTGACTATGTAATAGCCCTTAGGGTATAAAATTTAAAAAATAATAGGATTCCTGCCTCTGAGGAAGTCTTCTTGCTCTTTTTAGAGTGCTTTCTTCAGTTTGAGATCAGTCTTGGGCTTCGGATTTGATTTGAGTTACCTATTTACATCTCTTTTTATACTTAATTTTTTTATTATTATGGGCATTTAAAAAAGATTCAGGGGTGCCTGGGTGGCTCAGTCAGTTAAGCATCTGCCTTCGGCTCGGGTCGTGATCCCGGGGTCCTGGGATTGAGCCCCGCATCAGGCTCCCTGCTCAGTGGGGAGTCTGCTTCTCCCTCTCCCTCTGCCCCTTCCCCCACTCCCATGCTCTCTGTCTCAAATAAATAAAAATCTTCAAAAAAATAAAAATAGATTCAAATATATAATTTCTTCATGATTAAAATTACATGCTATGCCAGAAAGCTGTTTACATCATGTCATTTGAATTAAGACTAAATTAATTTATGAAGACCATCATTAAGCCTTTGGCATTACGTGTAGCAAGAAAGATGGCTCTTTGGGACAGTTATCTACATCTGCTTGCCAAATCAGATGTGTCTCCCCAGAAACCTGGGCAACAGTACCCACAGACAGAGGAGTAAAGCATATAGTCTTTTTGTCTCAGTTGTGTCTATCACAGTTATTTTTTTAAAAAACTACTAGTATTTCATAAAGATTTATAGGAATATTCCTAATATGGGAATTATAGGACTTTCATAAAGAATATAGAAATTATCAGGACTATCAGAATTATAGGGTTATAGAATAATAGTAATAGTATTGCTATAATGTTTTAGGTTTATAAAAATAATACCTGACTCAGACAAAACTTAAAAAATCTAAAACCTCCCAAATATAAAAATACAGGAGAATTTTAATATATTTTGTGTAAGCATTAGGTCAGCTCTCCTTGCAGAGATTATTAACTATTCAGCAAGTACAAGCTAAGGATTTATCATCATCCTGACCCCAAATAATCACCTTATTATGAATTTAGTAATTACCTTGGTTGTATCCGAATCAAAATGAGCTTATCTGGTAATGAAATTTCTATTGCTGAACCTAAAGTGGAAAGAATAACACAGAACTATTAATTATAGCGGCAGATACATAAGTGTGATGAGTTATCTTTGGGAGACACTCTTAGAAAAATTAGATTGAATGGGGTTGAGAATTTTTTTCTCAATCTCAGTATGTAGCATCTGTTTACTGTGGAATATTTTCTTACAATTGGAAACACTTGTGAATAATTGACAGGTGTTTTGTTTTAGCACTAATAGCTGTACATATTATATTTATAATGCTTAATGAAGAATTGGTATAATACTAATTATATTTCATCTGTTAATGTTTGCCCATTGTAACCTTTCCTCTCTCTGCAATCTGTTAAACCTTTTGGGATTCATTTATTTATAGCAGTCAAATGCAGATAAGTCTCTCTTAAAAGTAGTTTAGGTTCTAGAAGTTTATAAACACTTACTCAGAAAGTTAGGATAATTAGGTTCATTGAGGACAAACTTTGAATACTGCCAATTTATATAAGCAATTGCTGAACACTTTTTCCCACAGAGGAAAAATATAATATATGAGTTGGTTTCCTAGGCCATCTCTTTAAATTGATTTAAATTATGAATGGTTAAAATTTATTATTTTGGTAGGAGAAACAAAGGACAATACTATTGGAATAATGGTGCTATAATTAAACAGAAAATAAACAATATTTCATTGTTGGTGTTATCTGTCTTGTTGTGAGAAGTCAACCAGATGGTTCTTGATCTTGTGGCCCTATATTCTTTAGGTGATTTAAGTGGAGGGAATGGTGGTAGGAAGAGTAGGGGTGTCAGAGTATACTGTGAAGGTCTCAGGATTTTGCAAAAACCTGAGATCTGGTCCAAGGGTTGGCTACGTAAGGGACACTGTAAGAGTCTAGTTCACACTCAGCCCTGGAGTCAGACTTTAGTGATGTTGGGCAGAAACATCAGACAAGGCTTAGCTATAGGTGGAAGAAAACAGAGAGGAACCAGTACCTGCCTGGCCTACAAGAACTAAGAAAGTATCCTCACAGGAGAGCATTCCCAAATTGGACAGGGAAAGGGAGCGGGGTGGGATTTAGGAAAGGGAGAAATACAGACCAACTTGGCAGCAGTTTTTGTAGCTAATGTGGGGCCTGTAAGGAGCTGGTAGCCAACAGCCCCATCTTGGTGAAGGATGCTCTGGAGCAAGAGAGCCCATTTCTCTCCTCTCCCATGATCTGAAAAATTCTTATGTGGATTTAGAACTAAGCTGTTGGGCAGGGCATGCCTTCCTAGGCAGTGAGAACTGGTGTCATTGTCATTATTTTCACTCAACAGAAGCTGAAGTAGGAAAACATTTCAGTCAAGGGCAGTAGATTTGGGTATTAATACCTTTTCTCAATGACTAGCATAAAATGACTGATACAAAATCTGAAGATAATATCTAGCCTGGTCAGTTTTACAAAGGTCACAATACAACCGCAGCAACAGAACCAGAATTGCTACTGTCTATGGAATGCTTACTCTGTGATTGACAGTTAAAGTGCTAAGTGCTTTATATACCTATATAAATGTATTTGTTACTACAAAAAAAAAGCATACTATATATATTTTACAACCTGCCTTTTTTTACTTGCAAAAGGAAATATTGTACTGCCTTAAAATATATCTAACTATCATTTAAGTATTTGCATAGTATTTTATACTTGGACACAATAATTTTTCAACCAATGTTTAATAAACATTGTTTAATGTTTTCTTTGAAGATTTTCTCTTTGTTTTTGTCTTTAAAGCATTTTTAGGGCACAATGTGTCTGGGTGTGGATTTACATTTATCCTACTTGGAGTTGGTTGAGCTTCTTGGACATGTAGATTAATGTAGTTCACCAAACTTAAAAAATTTTCAACCATTATTTCTTTGAGTATTTTTTTCTCTTTTCTCTCTCTCCTTGCCTTCTGGTACTCCCATTATGTGCATGTGGTTGTGCTTCATGGTCTCCCACGTTTCTCTAAGGCATTGTTAATTTTTCTTCATTTTTCTCTCTGTTCTTTAGATTGCATAATGTCTGTCAATCTACAAGTTCATTGATTCTTCTGCTAGTTAAAGTCTACTGTTGAGCCCCTTTGGTGAATTTTTTATTTCAGTTATTGTACTTTTCAACTCCAGAATTTCTATCTGGTGCTTTTTTATAATTTCTATCTCTTTATTTATATTCTTCATTTGGTGTGACATTTATATCATACTTTATTTATTTAAACATGGTTTCCTGTAGTTCTTTGAACATATTTATAATGCTGCTTAGAAGTCTTCATCTGTTAAATCTGACATCTGAGACTTCTCAGGTAGTTTCTGTTTCCTGCTTCCCCCCCCCGTGTATAGATATTTTCCTGTTTCTTTGCATATCTCATAATTGGTAAAAACTGGACATTTTGGATAGTATATTGTATCAACTCTGAACACTTATTTTCCTCGCTCCCCCCACCTATCGGGGCTTGGTATCATTTGCTTCTTTATTCATTTAGTGACATGCCTGGTTATTCTAGTGAAACCTATTTTCTTTCCAATGTGAAACCTCTAGTGTTAATCCTCAGAGTATAGCCTTGGGCACATGCACAGTTAGCCTTGGGACGCTAGTTTTAGCAAGGCTTTCTGTCCCTTTCTCTGTTCTCTCTGTTGAGCTGTTTCTGCTGGTATTACATCCTTGTTAGCCTTCACTAATTGCCAACTCATTGCTTTATTATTTTCAACAATGCCTTGAGGCATGCATTACTCTCCAGTCTCTTCCAATTAAATTTGAGCCT